AATATTTGAAAATATGGGAAGTGGGAAGTGGGAAGACATGGGGAATCTGTTTATTTGTGTGTATTGATTTGTGTGTCCTTGGGCCCCTTGAAATATGTTGAGCCCAGTGTTTGTGGAGCATGCCACGTGAACATCCCCCAGACTTGCGTGCTTCCAGCGACCGTGAGACGGCACGACGGTGCCGTCGAAGTGATTCCTGCCTCTTCTTCTCGGAGGGGCTTTGTCGCTGTTCGTCCATATCCTGTCTGGGTCAACCGGCTTTGTTCTGACGACGCGGCCCTTCTTGCTGCTGCTGCAGGTGATGCCGCGAGAACTGCTGCTCACCCGCTCTGCCAGCGCTGTCAGGGCCGCTGCTCGCATCCAGCGGGCAGGGCCGCGCATCATTGTTGCACACTCGCTGAGCGTGCAGAGGCGGCCACGCCGATACACTGGGCCAACGACCCACAGAGAATTGTACCCACAGCTTGCAGTGTCCCCGTGGCGTGGCGGGCCTGTTGGGCTGCCCCCGCCGCGCCATCGCTGTGGCCTTGAGAATGTTGCTCCAGGTGGAGGTGGATGCGGAGGCGGAGAACGATGGCGGGAACGGAGGAGGTTCGCCGAGCGGTTGGGAGGCTCGGCGAAATTTCCAAACGTGATCGCTCCGAGGTGCTGTTTTTCCCCAATCAGAGCTTGCCTCTGTAGGGGTCCTAGCGGATTAAAGGGTTAGGTGAGGTGCGTCGCCGATTTCGGTGGCCTGGCCTGGGTGCCCGGGTGTCCGGCGGTGCCCGGGTGCCGGGGTGGCCGGTGAGGTGCGTGGCCGATTTCGGTGGCCGGGCCCGGGTGCCCGGGTGCCCGTGGGTGCCCAATAGCCCAATAGCCCAGTAGCCCTATAGCCTTACAGCCCTATAGCCCTATAGCTGTATGGCCCTATAGCCCTGTAGCCCTATAGCCTTATATCCCTATAGCCCTAATAGCCTTATATCCCTATAGCCCTATAGCCCCATAGCCCATATAGCTCTATAGCCCCATAGCCCTATAGCCCTATGGTCCTATAGGTCACAGTCCTATAGTCCTATAGCCCTATAGCCCGATAGCCCTATAGCCCTATAGCCCGATAGCCCTATAGCCCTATAGCCCTATAGCCCTATAGCCCTATAGCCCTATAGCCCTATAGCCCGCCCTATAGCCCGATTGCAAAGGGAGCAGTTGGAAGATTCAAACAACGGATTTTTTTCTCTCGGTATCATTGTCATCACATGATTTCGGGGTGCTTCTGTTTTTGGTATCGGTTGTTGTTTGGCGCAGCATGATGTCGGCACGCCGGCATCATGTTGCGGCCGCTGCTGTTTCTGTTATCACATGATGTCGGCAGGAGGCCTGGTCTCCTGTTGAGTGGGCGTGCTCTCCGCGGGTGCCCGGGTCTATACGACGTGAAGTGCACGTCGCCGCCCGGTGAGGGCAGTGCCGACGCAGGCTACCACTTGCCCCCTTGCAGAGGGCCTGGCTGAGCCGCTGGGCCCGTGCCGCGCAACCACACTACACCTTAGGCGATGCTTAAGAAAACCCAAGTTTTCGGCCAGAATCTCGATTATTCTTAACGTTTCAATGTAAATCCCAAGATTTGAATAGACATTCTGGGTTTTTATTCAAATTCTGAGACTGTGAATTTCTTAACCCATGATTTCTAAAGCATTTCGCAGGGTGTACATTCGGGCCGGGCGAAAGGGGGGGATTGGGGAAGGGGGGGGTACGGGAACATCAGCTACGTGAGCTGATTCTCAATCCCCCCCCTTTGCTATCCCCCCCTTTCGCCCGACCCGATACATGACTTGAGCCAGGATGGTGACGGGTTCTGCAGGCAGCCTGCACAGCAAGGCTGGGCAACCTCCCCGAGGGCACCCCTGCATCCTCGCCTCCTGGGTTCAGCCTTGGCCACTTTCGCCGGCCGCGCCCCGCTCGAAAAGCCCGAAGATGGCCCTCCAGGGCCCTTGCGTCCTCATAGATGATACGGGTCGGCTGTATTGTGGACTTGCGGTGGGGAGCAGAAGAGGGCTCGAGGACGCGGGGCTTTGTGGCCACGTCGGATGGGCCCCGCGGGGTGCGGCCAGCGCCGCCGCGGCCGCGGCGTCGAAGGGCAGGCCGCGCGCGATGCACGGTGCTGGCAACGCGGTGCAGCAGCAGCGTCGGGCGGCCGCAGCCTCTGGCTCTCCGAGATTCCAGCCATCCAACTCCAACAGCCTGAGAAAGTCGGAGTCCTCCTCCTCCTCCTCCTCCTCCCCCTCCTCCTCCTCCTCCTCCTCCTCCTCCTCCTCCTCCCCCTCCTCCTCCCCCTCCTCCTCCTCCCTCCTCCTCCTCCTCCTCCCTCCTCCTCCTCCTCCTCCTCCTCTCCTCCTCCTCCTCCTCCTCCTCCCCCTCCAGCCTCGGCGGAGAACACAGCGCAGAAGCATAAACTGTCGACGCCCTGCGCGGATCTCTTGGATCGGCGCATGGCTCCCCCCTGGCAGCGCCTGCCGCGCCGCCCCTGGCGCGCTCCGCGCGCCAGGGAGGGGGGTCCAGAACGGATCCAAGACACCCGCGCGGAGCGCCAAAAGTTTATGTTTATGCCGTTTTCTAAGCTGCTATCGAATCACAGGGCGAGGCTGGAGTCCCTGCGGGCCCGTGGGGTGCTCCGCTCCCGACGACCTCCCACCAGCGTGGACTTGGCAGCGCTAAGGGCCTCCCGAAGGATGCCACGAGGAAGACGACGAGCGATCAGCCGTCGCCGGAAGCTATGAGGCATCCACCATCCGTCGAAGAAGAACAACAAAAGCTTCAAACATAAAGTCTTGGCGCTGCGCACCGGTTTCTTGGATCGGCGCCTGGCCCCCCCCCGGGCGGCGCCTCCGGCGCCGCCCCGCGCCAGGGAGGGGGGTTGAGCGCAGATCCGAGAAAGCCGCGCAGAGCGCCAACTGTTTATGTTTATGGCGGTTTTTCTTTTTCTGATCCACCATCCTATGCCTCAGACACGCAGGAGACAGCGCTCGCAGAAGATGGTCGCGCCTCTGCTGCAACCACAGGTCCGCGCTGGTAGGTGATGACTAACATTAAGTCGGGCCCGTCCCTCTACAGGAGGGATGTTCAAAACAAGTAAAAAATGGTCTGGGGACTATTTTTTGTATTTTACAATTTTGAGGTATTTCTTAATCTTTTCATTTTACAATTTTGAGGTATTTCTTAATCTTTTCAGTTTTCTTCGAAAATGGGGGACACGCCCGACTTGAGACTAGCAGCAGAAACAGTAACATCGCAGGGACGATGTACTGGACGCCAGCGCGGAGCCCTGCCCCCGCGTCGCCGACGGTAGATTGACCTCTGCCGCCAGTGGGCGACGTGCCCGCGAACATCGACATATCGAGCCCACATGGCTACGGAAGGAAGAGGGAGGAGGGGGCGGGGGGGAAAAGGAGGGGGGCAGGGGTAGGCACGCCTGGAGACGTGGCTAGGGTAGGCCTTCCTGCCTTTCCGACACATGCCAACCCCTGCGGTAATTCTTCATGGTTTTCGGGTTTGGTCCAGTCCGGGCCAGTTCTGTCCAGCTTTGGCCACTCTCGCTCGCATTGACTTTCCGCACTTCAGTTGTGAAACTTCCCTGTATTTTCCCATATAAATATATAGAACTATTCGGCTTGGCACGAAGCGTATTCTTGGGTGGCATATCAGTTGTACTCTACTTGTTTGGACGGTGCACAGAGCTTGGGTCTTTAGGCCCCTTTGGATCGTCAAATGCACTGTATGAGAACATGCAGCCTCATGCCGGCAACAAAGGCTTCACTCTCGTATCATGTCCAGTAGGGCTCCAATGCTTACTCGCAAACGAGGGTACTTCTGTACACGAGTGTACTTCTGTAACGAGCACGACCGGATGACTGCTCACTGCTCGCCAGGTGGCGGGCAAATTCGCCATCGTTGCTGGGGTGAGCTTCTCGCAGGCGCTCTACGCCCTGCCGCTGACTGTGGCCATGTCTCCCTCTGCTGCACGGGCACGACCAGCGCTCAGGGCTCTTGGGTGGGCGGGGGTTGGCATTTCTGCAGTCGGTCTGTTAATCCGGGGCAAGAGATAGGCTCGACGCCAACGACCTCTGACACGTGTGCACTCTGAAGTGGAGCCTCCCCAAACGCACAACGTAATGCAGCTCGTCGCCCTGCTGACGTTCCTGCTCCGCCACCACGAATGTGGCATCAATTTGGCAGCTGGGTGGTGAGCGTTCTCTGCCAAGCAAAGCGCCGCGAGTGAACCCTGAGGGATTCGCGATTGCCATTCTGCGGCTGCAGGGAGTTCGCTCATCCATCCAGCACTTCTTGGAGGCCGTAACGGTCCATCCAATAACGATGTCCAGGCGTCTTTCGAGAGGTGGCCAGTCTATATGCGCGTAATGGAACAGGGTGGCCAACAATGGTGAATTTAGAGACCCCTGGGAACTGATTGGAGGCTTCTTGTAGCCATCTTTGAGCTGTGTTGGGGCCCTGTCGGGAGGCCTCGAGACCATCCTGGGCCCTCTTGGAGGCCATATCGGAAAACAGGGTACGGCTTCAAACATGTCAGCGATATTAATAGGAGAGGAGGATTCGGAGACCTCTTGGGGCCCTCTTGGGCGCTCTTGGGGTGCTCTTGGGTGCTTGTGGTGCCGTCTTGGCGCCCTTATTGGCCCCTCTTCGGGCCATCCTAACACATCTTCGAGCCATCCTGAGGCCGCAGAAGACCCTCGGATGCGAACGGGTGAGGAGGTGCCAGCAGTTCGACAACCTACGGTTTTGGAAGTAGCTCGGTTTCGAGGGTATCATCGGGCGGCTTTGTGACCAGTCGAGGCCGTTTGGGGGCGGTCTTGGGCCCTCTTGAAGGCAAGCAGGTGGCCATCCTGAGCCGTGCTGCCCTACCTTGCATCTTAGAGGCAGTTTGGGCTATTTTGGGCCATTTTGGAGCCATATTGGGCCATCTTGGACGCCCTGGCCTCTCGCGAGGTGGCCATCCATTCCCAGGTGAAGGGGTAGAGGGAAAAACCTAGATATTGGCAGCAATCCCAGCGAACCCGACCCAGCCCAAGCTAACTCGACCCAACTCCATGCACAGGTGAAACAGGTTCACCAGTTCCACCATACATGCCAAACCACCGTATACTTGTGCTGCCAAGCCACCATACCACCAAACCACCAAACCACCAAACCACCAAACCACCAAGCCACCCTAACATCCATCCATCGGGCCACCATGCCACCATACCGACACACAGCCATATCCACCAAACCCACCATGTCCACCGTACCCACCACACCAACCTGAGCAACCATGCCACTATGCCCACACTGTCCAACAGACCCACCGTAGCCACCATCATTATACCCACCGTGCCCACCATGTCCACCAGAATCCACGCGGACCCTCATGAGTCCTGAAGCATATTTGAAGATCTTAGAGGGTCCTGAACTGGCCCTTCAAAAGTCATTGGATACGTGTGAGGGTCGCATATCCTTGCGCAGACGCAATCAAACGAGAAGGTCGCACAATGCAGTTCTTTGATCGTTCGCAAGGTGGTCGACAACGATGGAGTCGCGAAAAGTGGATCCAGTCCAATCGGAGCAAGGGAGAATACGTAAGTTACCTCCCTTACAGAAGGTCAGGTAAAGTTGGTACCACTTGCCTGGACTGGAAGCGTGGGTTTCGGGCGCCCGACGCTGCGCCCACTGCCCGCGACCCGCCGCCAAAACTCCTTGTCCAGGCTGGCTGGGCCGACGGCCCCTGGCCTGGCTGAGTCGACAGTCTGGTGCCTTCGTGCGATTTGAGACTTCGGGCCGAGTTCTCAAACCATGCCGACTAGCCTGACTGTCTGTAGGTGTTGTTAACACATATTTCAAACCTATGCAATATAGATTTAATTCGTAAGGACAGCCGAGATTGGTACCCGTCATTTCCGCACGTAGCTGGGATTCGGCACATTTCGCTGGGAGTGGTACCGGCGCTCCAAGATTTGACCCACAACCTGGTAAAAACCTTCTCTTGATGGAAGAGGAAAGGGTCGTAAGAGATAATTACCTTAACCTCCTGCGCTCAAAGGGCTGGTGGCAGTTCTTCCATCCTGGCGTCAAGTCTAGTCTGCCCTGTATCTTCGTCGTTGTCTCCTTCTTCTCACCATTCCCCGTCTTCTCCTCCTTCCTGTTTAATCAGGAACATTCCACAGTTACGCCTAAGGAACAAGGCATTTCGGTTTATCTCTCGCCCTTGCCATAGAGCATGTTGCTGATGAGCAGAAGCTCGCTGGGAAGCGGGAGAAGCCTGGCGCCCCCGTAGTGGACGGTTTGTACAGCTACTGCAGGCATCCGAATTATCGGAACGTTTGCAACAAGTCCGCCTGCCCTTGTCAGTAGAGCGTGTGCAGTGATGTAATTTCGAATTTCGTGCAATGGGTCAGCGTTGTCAATGCTGGTGGGATGCGCCCCGCCCAGCCTGTATGATCCTTAGACCCGTGCCGATCGAAGCACATGGCAACCAGCCCCCATAGCAGTCCTGTGATTTTCCACCTCCCCGTCCCTGGCGGCATCCGGAAACTGCCATTTCACCACTGCCACCCTGATGGGTACAGGGGCAGCGCGCAGGGAGATGCCAGGAAATTGGGGGAGAGAAGCGCCAGTTCCGTGCGGGACGGCGCGTGAGCGCTGCAGGAGAGCGCCGATGTCGGCGCAGGTCCGAGCCATGAACCGCTGGAGTGCCTGTCGGAGTGGCTCCGACTTCGGTGTCCCTACGCTCTGCCTGGGTAGTCGAAGGCCAGACTGTCAGACTGGATTGGGCCCCAAGTGCCAATCTGGCCTGGCCATATTGGAGGATTTGGGTTATTCGCCAGACTGGATTCGCGTTGGCTCCCTCGCCAGATTGCCCCCGTTTGCCAGATTGGGCCTGCCAGATTGGCGCCAGATTGGCTTCGACTACCCAGGCTTGAGTGTCTGTCGGAGTGGCTCCGACTTCGGTATCCCTGAGCTCGGCGGTCCCAACGGCTGGCGTGCCGTGGCGGCGGCGCCAGGCAGGGATCCCCCTCCGAGGGTGCGCGCCCTCACCCGCGCCCTTCTCGGTGCGCGCAGCCCCCCTTTCGGGTGGGGGGCGGCGGCTTTCGGGGAGCTCCTGTTCCACTGCGGCATCTCCTGCATGGGCGTCAGCGGCACGCCGATGCAGGTGGCTGATTCTGCTCCAGCCGTGGGCGCTGAGGAGGAGGAAGAGGAGGAGGAGGATGGTGACGGTGACGGTGACGGTGACGGTGACGGTGACGATGACGATGACGATGACGATGACGAGGAGGAGGAGGAGGAGGAGGAGGAGGAGGAGGAGGAGGAGGAGGATGTTGATGATGCTGCTGCTGATGATGATGAGGACTAGCATGATGATGCTCATGATAAGTGCTATGATGAGGCAGAGCAGGAGGATGAGGGGGTTGGGCAGGAGGAGGAGGAGAAGTATGACTAGGATGGCGAGAAGGAGGAGCAGGACAATGATAGGCAGGAGGATGAGCGTCCGTCGCCAACGCTGGCATTGTAGCGATATTGTCAGTGCCTCTAGGGCCGCCCACTGTGGTTACGTTTCGTATCATAGTTCTCTTAGTGTGATGTTATGGTTTGATTTTGGACGGTTCATTCCGTCAATCGTGTTGAATTCTAACTCCTTGGATTTTGAGGTGTTTAGCTCTGAGTTTGAGTAATGAGTTGAGGTATTCTCCCTCAGCGCGCCTTTACGGCCCAGCTGCGCAACCGAGCTCTGACTCCATGAGAAATTGTTCAGCCGCACCGGTCTCACTCCTAGGACCCCCTGAGGCGACCGAAATGTTGGATTGCTGCGCCTGAAACCGCGTAGATCAATCAGGTACGTACAGACACAAACCCCAGGGTAGCCCCATGCGTTCTCAGCACCCCAACGCCAAGGCGCGGAAAGCCCCAGGTACCTCCGCCGCTAGAGACTTACGTCTCCTTTCTCCTTTCCCCCCCCTTCCCCCCTTATCTCCTTCTCCCTTCCCCCCCTCTCGCCGGAGACGTACGCACCCATTTTTCTCACTCGTACCTCCCCTCTCTTCTTTTCTTCCTCCCTCCTCCAGCTCCCGCCTCCTCCTCATCCTCCTCCTCCTCCTCCCTGCCTCCTCCCCCCACCGTGGCCTGGAGGAGGGAAGGGATCGCCCTTGCGCGGCGGATGCATGTTCGAGCTCGGGGAATGCCAGAACGTTCTTCCAGTGTCGGGCAATATTCGGTGTCAGCACAGCGCTGCGCTGAGAAGATAGGGCCGACTATTATGTCTCGTCGATGTTGACTATTTCAACATAGTTCGTATTCCATTTTGGCCTCCTGAGGCCCGTTTCGCACCAGTGCGCCATCAAACAGTTATCTCGGACGAGCAACTGACCCCGTCCAAGGGGTCGTGAGCTCTCGGGGCCAGCGCCTCCAAGTAATCGTTTCGTTGGAAGTCTAAACGAGAAGGCAGGGCTGGGGCAGAGATGGACATGACGTAGCGCCACGTGCAAGTGGTGCGTCGGACTGAGGCGCAATTGAAATGAGACAGGCGCCACCAGGACGACAGTTTTGTCCACAGATGCACATGTGTATCAATATTCGGAGATGCTTGTCTAACTTATTTTGTGAGGGTAAGCGGACGGGGGCCGCCCGTGTCACAAATTTTGCTCAAGCGTTGAAAGACCTGACCCCGCGCATGTTCTCTCCCAAGGTCTCCTCTTCTGCCGTTGTCTCGACAGTGACTTCTTGGATTGCGCACACAGTTTGGTGCTTGGCACGGTCGCCACCTGCGCCACCTTTCTCTGCTTGTCCTGCGTGCCCGACGTCGCCCTCGGGTGGGGGAAAGGGAGGAGGAGGAGGAGGAGGAGGAGGAGGAGGAGGAGGAGGAGGAGGAGGAGGAGGAGGAGGAGGAGGAGGAGGAGGAGAGGAGGAGGAGAAGGAGGAGGAGGAGGAGGAGGAGGAGAAGGAGGAGGAGGAGGAGGAGGAAGAGAAGAAGAAGGAGGAGGAGTCCAAGGGCGCCTTCGACACCCGGACTCCGCCGACGACCGAGACCCTCTCCCCCGGCATCGGCCGAGGGTTGGGCTTCGTCTGGGCCGCTTTCTTCAGCGTCGTTGCGTTGTTCGTCGGCCTGTGGCGCGGGAGGGCACTGCGTTGCGGCAGCAGGGGCTGTTTCTCGGAGTAGCGGTGTTTTCGACAGCAGTTAAAAATTATTGTTGTGGATCGGTGACAATCACCCCAGACGGTGGCCTCTATCGTGAGAACTAGTCAGGCGGTTCGACTCAGGTTGCTGCAGTATGGACGGCCCGAGCCTCTGATTGCAGCCACTTCTCGGAGCCGACGGGCATGGGCAGGCCGCCTTACGAGTTGCCGTTGCACGATTGGGAGGAGGAAGAACGCGTCTTGAGGCGCGACCTCGACAGCTGGGCAGCCATGTGGATGGACGGCCTCACAGCAGCTAGGCAACAAGACCCGAGCTGGACCCTGTGGTGCGAAACATCTGTGCGTCGCGTTCTAAATCATGAGCGCGCGGAGCCCTTCTTTTCGAGGATCCGGACTTCGCGCCCACACCTGTCCATCGAGGAGATGGTTGCCGACACCTGCGCTCGAGCATTTTCCAGCGGGCACTGCAGCGCGAATCGGTGACTTGGGCGGGCACTGTATCATGGCAGCGTCCACAACGGTAGACACGATGACGGCAAGGCCAGTGACGGCGCCGATGCTGATCACGCCTGCGACGATGACGGCGTCCTCGCGTCGGTGATTAAGGTTTTTGGAAGAAGTTCGACACGCGCGCGCGACTCACGCGCGAGAGTAGCCTGTACTGTATTATTTGATACGGATCGTGCCCTCCCCCAGCGCGCGCGCAAGGGCGTTCGAATAATTTCGACGTGCGGCGCGGGAGGCTGCTTGGCAGAATGTAATGAAGATGTGGAAACAGTTTTGGGTGTCTTAAGAATTCGCGAGTGCGCGAGCGCAGTGCTTTGAGCACGGATGTTGTAAAACCATGTGGCCTTATATGTGTTCGGGACGCTCGGTTTTCGAATCCGTGCGTTTTGGTTTGTATTTCGTCCCGTTTTTGCGAATGATTCTTGCGACAGTATGCACGCAAGGGCGTTCGAGCGATTTTGCGGCATGCTCACGCGAAGGGTCCGTTTGTTAGCATGTAGTCAATGTGTCGAAAGAAGAAACATAATGGCTTCCGTAAGGAGCTGCAAGAACGCGGGCGCAGGCTCTTTCTTGAAAGCTCGTGTTGCGGAGCCATGTGTTTTTGTATGTGTTCGGGACACTCGGTTTTAACATTCTTGCGACACCTTTTTGTTTTCGACGGAATTCGGCATGCGCTCGCGACGACGCGCGCGTGCGGACCTTTTGTTGTTTTGCAAGGGCTTACGGAATATGTTGATAAACGATTGCGCGCGCACAGCATTTTTTGCTGGGGATGAAAGGGGGGATTTCTGCTTCAGCTCGGATGACACGAGTTCATATTTAGTATGGACGGTGGGCCACACTCATGTGTACTTCCCAATGCGAAAAGTGGGTATGTTAAGCACTTGGGGGAAGAGATGTCTTCATATTTTTAGAAAGCGAATCTATTTCGTGCAACCGATGTTGTGCATTTAATGTGGTGCAATGCAAATTATGCAACCTGAGTTGTGCAATCAATGTTGTGCAGCTCGTGCTGTGCAAAATGTGTGGTTTAATCAGTTCGGTGCCATCAGTGTGGTTCAACATATGTGGCGTAACTACGTGGTGCAATCTATGTTGTGCAACCTATGTTTTGCAATCTATGTTGTGCAAACTATGTGGCGCAGTATGCGTGTTGCAGCTTAGGTTCCGTAGCATGTATTGTGCACTGTACACGATGCATTATAATGTTCGCTATCTATGATGTGCTATTTACATGTATGTCATTCGTTTTATGCGGAACAACCAATGTGGCGGCGAGCGACGAAGCAGCGACGGGGCGGCAACGGCGACAACATAGGTGCCAAAGCGTCACACCAGCCCAGACGACGGGCGGCGACGAGGCACCGACGGGGCGGCGACGGCGACAGCATAGCCTCCAGATTGCCACACCGGCCCACGCGAGTGGCGGCGACGAGGCGGCGACGGCGCGGCGACGGCGGCCACATGGCCGCCTTACGACAGACAGGCCCAGACGATGGATGACGACGAGGTGGCGACGGGACGGCGACGGCGGCTACATAGCCGTCAAACCAACAGACAGGCACAATTCTTCATACTACTGTTTTCACCTAGACGATTTGAAAGACCTGAGAAACACAACGCTTTCCTGTCGCATTCGCGGCTCGATATGGGATGGTCAATCATCATGGATATATATATATATATATATATATATATATATATATACATATATATATATATATATGGAAGCGCTAAAACGCTGTGTTTTCAAATGTGTCCGATCTTTCATGTGTTTCAGAGTTCCTGCAGAGATTGCGTAAATTGGGTTGCCTTTGCAGGACATGGAACTATTGTACAATATGGTGCGCAAGCGGTTGCAGTTGCAGGGTTGAACGAACCTGAAAATCACAATGCTTTTCAGCTTCCCTGTTGCGTTTGTGATACGATGGAGGGAAACAAGGAGCATGAGCCCACGTGCATGATCATGTGTGTGTAGTGTGGCGTGGTTTGGTGGGGTGGTGGGGGGGGCGACCATGTATGTATACACGCGCATACATATGTGACATATCTATGTACAACTACACATACATACACCACCAACGTCATATTTGCATGTACCTAGATCTTTGCGTACATAAACACAGGCATGCAACTATGCATTTACGTATCCATATTTCATATACATATGTATATATGTATACAAGCATCTACATGTACATATGCATTTACATACACACGCACACATCTACATAAACCTTTACATGCTCATGTACCCTTACGCACACACATCCATACACAGTTCATATTTCTAGCTATAAATTACATCTATTTCTACATGCACGTGTATACATTTTTCATATGATTTGCGCAAACTCACACATACACCTGCGCAATCCATAAACGTATACACATGCACATACACAAACATTCCCATATACATATACGTATACTATACAGACGCTTGTAATTTACATCTACATGTACACATACACGTGCACATACACTTCCATATACATATACACATGAATATGCACACGCATACGCATGTTCATACAACTACGTATACGCAGATTATGCATACACCTATACGCGCACATAGACCTAACCATGTACATGCATACGTGTACTTCTACACCTACAACTGAAACTACATCTGAATGTATACATAAACGTAGACATGCACGCATACGTGTACAACTACGCATACATATACGTGTACATGTACATGTGCATGTACATACACATATACATATGCACGTACACAGACATCCGTTTACATATACGTATACGGATACCTATACATACGCGTCTACATATGCGTATCCGTGCGTTTACCTGAATATAAATACACATGTATACATCTATCCATGCACAATATATATATATATATATATATTTATGCACATGCTCATATATAAATACATACTATACATACGCATACATGTACACCCTCATGTACGTACACATATACCGGTGCACCACCATACACGTATACATTTACATGTGCATATGTTTACACATATACATGTACATCTACACATACTTATGCTCATATATATAAATGCATACATATTCATATGCATATGTGTATACATATACATATACATATACATATACATATACACATACATATACATGTACACATACATGTATCCGCATACATGAGCATATACATGTACATACACATGTACATATACATTTACATACACATGAACATACACACATACATTTACCCATACAGATACACATACATACACACATACATATACACAAACATATACATATACCTATACGTATACATATACATAGACATGTAAATGTACATGTACATGTACATATACATGTACATATACATGTACATGTACATGCACATGTACATGCACATGTACACACATGTACGCACACACATATATATATATATATATATATATACATACATATATATATATACATTCATATACACATGCATATGCAGATGCATACACATATACGTATACATGTACGTTTACATATACATATACATATGCATCTACATATACAAATACACATACACATACATCTACATATACAGATGATTTGAACGACCTTCGGCCCATCCCGCCACCGTGCCAGGGCTAGGGTTGTGGGCCAGAGTTCTTAGGGATGCTTTTTGGGGTCACTTCGGAGCGCCTTCGGGGGCTTCTTGGTGGCAGTTTTTGGGCCTGTAGGGCCTCTTTGGGGCCTCTTGGAGCCTCTTGGGGCTCTCTTGGGCCTCTTGGGGCCTCTTTGGGCTTCCTGGGGGCGTCTGTGGGCCGAGGATTCGACATGTCCTCCGGGTTCCTTATTTGGGATCCCTCTTGTGTCTTTGCGTCCTCTTGGGCCGTCTTGGGGGCCCCTTGGTCCGTCTTGGGGCCTTCGTGGGCCCTCTTGGGGCCCGCTTGGGGGCCTTCTTGGGCCGTCTTGAAGCGATCTCGAGGGCCTGGGCAGTTCTGGAGCGTCGAATTTTGGTGGCCTCTCGGGGCCCTCTTGTGAAGCCTCTTGGAGGCCTCTTGTGGCGTCTTGGCGGCCTCTTGGGCCGTCTTGGGGCCATCTGGAGTCTTGGGGCGATCGTTCGGCAACTCGGGGCCTTCTTGGACCGTCTTGGCGGCCTCTTGGGGCTGTCTTGGGGCTCTCTTGGGCCCGAGAAAATCATGCGGGAAGACGCGAGGAACCCGAGGAAGCACGCGACAAGACCGGAGAGGTTTGGCAATTCGGGGTCCGAGCCCCTGAGAGACTCCTCAGGAGGAAGGGCTGAGGTTAGAGGTTTAGGCCCCGCCCCCGCGATGGCCCCCCCTCTGTGGGTGTGGTGTGGTGCTGTGGGTGTGGCATGTGTGGAGTCGTACTGTGGTGCTCAAGGTGAGCTCCAGAGGTCGTCGTCGTCGCCGCCGCCGCCGTCGTCGTCGTCGTCGGGCTCTGGAGGTCGGCGCCGCCGCCGCCGCCGCCGTCGTCGTCGTCGCCGTCGCCGTCGTCGTCGTCGTAGCCGCCGTCGTCGTCGTCGTTGTCGTCGTCGTCTCCGCCATCGTCGCCGCCATCGTCGTCGTCGTTGTCGTCGACGGCGTCGCCGTCGTCGTCGTCGTCGCCGTCGCCGTCGTCGCCGCCGTCGTCGCTTACGTCGCTGTCGCCGTCGTCGTCGTCGTCGTCGCCTTCGTCGTCGTCGCCGTCGTCGTCGTCGTCGTCGCCGCCATCGTCGTCGTCGTCGTCCTCGCCGCCCCGCCCCCCCCATCCCATCAGGGGGGGGCCCGAGGGACCCTTAGACCCATCCCATCCGGGGGAGGAACGTGGGCCCGGAGCCTGGGATCATATATACGTATATGTTGTTGGCATTCGTTGCCACCGATATTTGTGCAGCATCATAGTTGGTGGTGGGCATTTTGATACATCCAGGTGTTTGCTTGTGTGTTTCCGACGTTCTTCATGGGCTTCACCCTCCAGAACGCAGCTGTGCGGTCAGACAAAGAGGAGAGCTATTATTTTTCCATTTTGCATTGCCACGTTGTGCCTGCCTACACATCCGCTTTGCAATTGGCGCGCCGCTCTTCCACGCTGATAACAAGTTTCATATTTGCATCCAGTTTTGAAGGTGATCCCCTTCCATGGCACCCGAGCTGCGCGCGCGAGAGCAAATAGCATTCTGTAGGCAGACCACAGGTACAAGAACATTCCAGGATGTATTTCTCTCTTATTTGTCCATGCTGGGAGCTGCTGCGTGCTCTCAGGTGCTCGGACGTTTTCAAGTATGCATGCGATCTTGGTTTGGATTAGCCTGTTGTTGAGTACGAGTGTATTCTTGCGCAGTTTATTTCCTGGGACGCGGCCGACTCCCGGCAACATGCGGTACCTCTTGAGCGTTGAAAAGTTCATCGGCCTGGAATCTGGAACACTTGCAAGATCGCGGCCATGAGTATTCTCGGGGCTCGCGTCCTCATCTCCTCGTTGTCGCTCTTGTTGCCTCGTCTCTGGGTCTCGGGTTCTGTCTGGCCACCTGTTCGCCGCTCCCGTGCATACTTGTTCTTGGTGGCTTCCCGCTGTTCAGCAGCGCGAGTGCAGCTGTGCGCACAGTGCGGGTCCAGATCGTGGTTCTAACTGTTGTGCGTGGCAGGTGTCGACTGCAGCGCCCGCAGCCGGAGAGTTGCCTTCAAACACCAGCGTTTAAGCATACGACAAGCATGTTAAAGGGGGGCCATTCGTTGCGCGCGTTTGTTTTCCCCCTTCGTGACGGGTGTCCGGCTTGTCTCGCACGTGGGCACACGACGACGTGACGAGGCCTGGTCGTATTGGTGGGTGGCTGAAATAACCACGTCCCGCAATAGATGCAGCCGGCCGAGATTTTTTTGGAGTTGGAGGGTAAATTGCAAAACCAGCGGCGCAGCGAATCGTCAGGATGCATAGGGAGGAGGAGGTGGAGGAGGAGCAGGAGGAGGAGGAGGAGCAGGAGGAGGAGGAGGAGGAGGAGGAGGAGGAGGAGGAGGAGGAGGAGGAGGAGGAGGGGGGGAAGGGGCATGTTTGGAGCCTCTGGGGGCACTCTTGGGGCCTGCTGGGAGGACGGGGACGAGGAAGCCCAACAAAAGGAGGAGGAGCAGAAGCAGGAGGAGGAGGAAGAGGAGGAGAAGGAAGAGGATAGGCAGGAGGAGGATGGGGAGGAGGAGGAGGAGGAGAAGGAGGAGAAGGAGGAGGAGGTGGAGGAGAAAAAGGAGGAGGAGAAGGAGGAGAAGAAGGAGGAGGAGGAGGAGAAGTAGGAAGAGGAGGAAAAGGAGAAGGAGGAGGAGGAGAAGGAGGAGGAGGGGACATGTTGGGAGCCTCTAAGGGCACTCTTGAGGCCTGTTGGGAGGAGGAGGAGGAGGAGGAGGGGGAGGAAGCCCAGCAAAAGGAGGAAGAGGAGAAGAAGGAGGAGGAGGAGGAGGGGGAGGAGAAGAAGGAGGAAGAGGAGGAGGAGGAGAAGGAGGGGGAGGATGCGGAGGCGGAGGAGGAGAAGGAGGAGAAGGAGGAGGAGGAGAAGAAGGAGGAGGTGGAGGAGGTGGAGAAAAAGGGGAGGAGGAGGATGGGGCATGATGGGAAGCCCAGCAAAAGGAGGAGGATGAGGAGGAGCAGGAGCAGGAGGCGGAGGAGGAGGAGGAGGGGGAGGAGGCAAGATGCGCTCGCGTCATATCTGACATCCTACCCCTCCCTCCCATCCCTTACCATGGCGCAGATCCCCTCTCTACTCGCTCAGTCGGATGTCGAGCAGGGCAATGATCCCGAAAGGGTACGCGATGCATTGTAGAGCACGGCATGGCATGGCGTAGAAGAGCACCGCAAAGCGTAGTATCAACCTAGCATTGCATTGCATGCCGTGGCATGGCACGGGAAATGACGCCAGCGCTGCAGCGGGAGCACGAGTCGAAACGAGCGGAAGCGCAGAAAGGAGGCCAGCGCTGCAGCGTGAGCACGATTCGGAACGAGCGGAAGCACGGAAATGAGGCCAGCGCTGCAGCGGGAGCACGATTCGGAACGAGCGGGGCCCGAAAATGAGGCCGGCGCCTCAGCGAGAGCAGCATTTTGCAAAAAAATGCAGGCGAAAACCCAACTCCGGGGAAACCTGTGTGTAAAAACAGTACGCGGGGGGGGGGTCGGCCACTTTCAAGCCGTCATCAGGGGAAGAGGGAGAGTAGTATTCATATTGAGTAATTGTAGAAGGAGGAGGAGGAGAATGAGGAGGAGGAGAAGAAGAAGGAGGAGGAGGGGGATACTGATGATGATGATGAGGAGGAGAAGAAGAAGAAGAAGAAGAAGGAGAAGGAGAAGGAGGAGGAGGAGGAAGAGGAGAAGGAGGATAACCGGTGTAAACCCAAGAGTCATCAACGATGTTGGAATTATTCCTCCCTCTTTAAATGGTGAGGACGTCTCAGGCGAACCGCCCGTCCCGCCCTAAAAACTGGCCTCTGGGTGCGATAAGGAGAAGTTATTCGTGAGTTAAAGAAATGGAGGAGGATATGGAGCAGGAGGAGGAGGAGGAGAGTATAATGAGGAGGAGGAGGACGAGGAGGATGAGGAGGAGGAGGAGGACGAGGAGGAGGGGATGAGGAGGGGGCATGTTGGGAGCCTCTGGGGGCACTCTTGGGGCCTGCTTGGAGGACGGCGGCGAGGAAGCCCAGCAACATGAGGGGGAATAGAAGGAGGAGGAGGAGCAGGAGGAGGAGGAGGACGAGGAGGAGGAGGAGGAGGAGGAGGAGACGGAGGGGGCGAAGGAGGAGGGGGAAGAGGAGGAGATGGAAGAGGAGGAGGAGAAGCAGGATGAAGATAATAAGGAGGAGGAGAAGAAGGAGGAAGAGGAGGAGGAGGAGGAGAAGGAGGAGGAGGAGGAGAACCAGTGTAAACCCAAGAGCCACCAACGATGTTGGAAGTAACCCTCCCTCCAAGCTCCCTCTTCTGGAAGACAACCGTTCGAAGCTGCGTCTGGACGATCCAGAATCGTGCCAGCACGCCATTTTTGGGACTTCAACACCGCGAATCAACATAACTGTTGCACCCGCATGCTCCTGAACCTTTCCAACACACCAGTTCGGGTACGTTGATCATGGGAAGCAGCGAATCTCTTGGAGGCATTTCTAAAATAATGTGCGCGGCGCAAAGGCGAGAGCCACATTTAAAAAAGGAACCGCCCTCAATCCGTGAAGCTCTTGCACACTGTTAAAACGAATGTGCGCCGCGCCATGGCGAGAGCCACATTTTGAAAATGAGCCGCCCTGAATCTGTGAAACTCTTGTAAACGTTTAAAAACAATGTGCGTGGCGCTAAGGCGAGAGCCACATGTTGTACAGGAGCCACCCTCACTGCGTGAAGCTCTTGCCAATGTTTAAAACAAATGTGCGCGGCGCTAAGGCGAGAGCCACATTTCTAAAATGGCCCGCCCTCAGTCCGTGAAGCTCTTGCAACTGTTTGAAACGAATGTGCGCCGCGCTGATGCGAGAGCCACATTTTGAGAATGGCCCGCCCTGAACCCGTGAAACTACTACAAATGCTTAAAAGAATGTGCGTGGCGCTAAGGCGAGAGCCACATGTTTGACAGGAGCCAACCTCACTCCGTGAAGCTCTTGCCAATGTTTAAAACAAATGTGCGCGGCGCTAAGGCGAGAGCCACATTTCTAAAATGGCCCGCCCTCAGTCCGTGAAGCTCTTGCAACTGTTTGAAACGAGTGTGCGCCGCGCTGATGCGAGAGCCACATTTTGAGAATGGCCCGCCCTGAACCCGTGAAACTCTTGCAAATGTTTTGAAAACAGAATGTGCGCGGCGCTCAGGCAAGAGCTACATATTGAAAGCGACCCGCCCTCCATTTGTGAAACTCTTGACACTCTGAAAGTGTCAGAGTCATACATGGTGAGGAAGTCTCAGGCGAAACGCCCGGCCCGCCCTAAAAACTGGTCTCGGGGCGCGACAGGGATAATTTTTTATAAGGAAAAGGAGCGGAGGAGGAGGAGCAGGAGGAGGAGGAGGAGGAGAAGGAGAAGGATGAGGCGGAGGAGGAGGAGGAGGCAAGGGAGGAGGAGGAGGGAGGAGGAGGAGGGAGGAGGAGGAGGAGGGGGCATGTTGGGAGCCTCTGAGAACACTCTTGTGGCCTGCTGGGGGGACGGGGATGAGGAAGCCCAGCAAAAAGAGGAGGAGAAGGAGAAGGAGAAGGAGAAGGAGTAGGAGGAGGAGGAGGAGGAGGAGGAGGAGAAGAACAAAGAGGAGGAGGAGGAGGAGAAGGAGGGGGCGAAGGAGGAGGAGGATGAGAATGAGGAGGAGGAGAGGAGGAAGAGAATGAGGAGGATAAGGAGGAGGATATGGAGGAGGAGGAGGAGGAGAAGGAGGAGGAGGAGGAGGAGGAGGAGGAAGAGGAGGATGACAAGAAGGGGGCACGTTGGGAGCCTCCGGGGGCACTCGAGGGCCTGCTGGGAGGACGGGGACGAGCACCCCCAGCGAAAGGAGGAGGAGTCGGAAGATGAGAAGGATGAGGAGAAGGAGGAGGAGAAAGAGCAGGAGGAGGTAGAGGAGGAGGAGGAGGAGGAGGAGGAGGAGGGGAAGGAGGAGCAGGAGGGGGATGCGGATGCGGAGGAGGAGGAGGAGGAGGACCAGTGTAAACCCAAGAGTCATCAACGATGTTAAAATACACCCTCCCTCCAAGCTCCCTCTTCATAGGCCCCTACAACGGTTCATTTCCATTGACGAGGAGAATGACGAGGAGGGGGCACGTTGGGAGCCTCCAAGGGCACTCTTGGGGCCTGCTGGGAGGACGGGGGCGAGGACGCCCATCACAAGGCGGAGGAGCCGGAGGATGAGAAGGATGAGGGGGAGGAGGAAGAGGAGGAGAAGGACGAGGAGAAGGAGGAGGAGCAGGAGGGGCATGCGGGGGAGAAGGAGGAGGGGGAGGAGGAGGCGGACAAGGAAGAGGAAGAGGAGGAGGAGGAGAAAGAGGAGGAGGAGGAGGAGGAGGAGGATGAGGAGAAGGAGGAGGAGGAGAAGGAGGAGTAGAAGGAGGATGAGGAGGAGGGGAAGGAGGAAGAGGAGGAGGAGGAGGGGGAGGAGGAGGAGAAGGAGGAGGAGAAGGAGGGGGAGGAGGACGAGGAGGAGGAGAAGGAGGAGGAGGAGGATCACGAGGAGGAGGATACGGAGAAGGAGGAGGAGGAGGAAGACCAGTGTAAACCCAATTGCTATCAACGATGTCCTCCCTCCAAGCTCCCTCCATTCCTTTGGCTTAAGCACAGCGAACCAACATAACTGCTGCACCCGCATAATGTTGAAGCTTTTCAAAACATCATTCCTAGCACGTTTGCGATGGGAATCCCAAACTCTTGTAACTGTTTAGAGCGCCGCGCTAACGCGAGAGCCACCTCATGAAAAGGAACCGCCCTCAATCCGTGAAGCTCTTGCAAGCGTTTAATACACATGCGCGCAGCGCTACGGCGAGAGCCACATTTTGAAAGCGGCCCGCCCTCAATCCGTGAAATTCTTGCAGCTGCTTGAAACGAATGTGCGCCGCGCAAAGGCGAGAGCCACAGTTTGGAAACCACTCGCCCTCAACCCGTGAAATTCGTGCAAATGTTTCAAACTGATGTGCTCCGCGTTATGGCGAGAGCCACATTTTGAAAATGACCCGCCCGCCATCCGTGAACGTGTTGCCATTCTTGAGCTTCAGAATAATACATGGTGAGGAAGTCTCAGGCGAAACGCCTAGCCCGCCCTAACAACTTGCCTCGGGGTGCGACAGGGATATTATCCATAAGAAACAGGAATGGAGGAGGAGGGGCATGAGGAGGCGGATGAGGAGGAGCCGGAGGATGAGGATGAGGAGGAGGAGGAGGAGGA